TGGTGAGCCTGTGGAATTCATTACCACAGGAAGTAGTTGATGCCAAAACATTGAATGTATTCAAGAAGCAGCTAGATATAGCACTTGGGCCGAAGGGGGTCAAAGGTTATAGGGAGAAAGCAGGCTTAGGCTATTGAGTTGGACGATCAACCATGATTGTGAAGAATGGCAGAGTAGGCTTGAAGAGCCAAATGGCCTCCTCCTGCTCCTATTTTCTATGTTTCACATGCTTCCTTGTATTGACTGGCAGCCCCTCCTGCAAGGAGGCAGGAGTGTTAGGCTGCACCCTGTTTAAGGATTTTCAAGGTATATATAGCTGCTCAGCGTTGTATGAACAATAACGGGGAGAAGCAGATTACTGCCAAGAAGAGAGAGTAGTCATGAGGTTTGAGAGTGTGAGTGTAAGCAGAAAGAGGTGCAGTTCTGATTGGACGAATGGGTGAATGGATGTGATGGAAGTTCTGATAGACCTCAGTGCAAAGCTGCACAGAGAGTAAGAGAGATTCCATGAGAAGTTTTAGATCGGCAGTCTTGATGGGATTGTATTTTTTTCCTGTATTGCAATGAATTTATAGGAACTAGGAGCAGGAATAGACAATTGAGCCCTTGAGCTTGCTCCACGATTTGATATGATCATGGCTGATCGCTTTAATTCCATTTTGCTGCCCATTTCACATAACAGAGTTCCGGGGAACAATCTTCGGGCTTGTTCCGGCACAGCCAGCCCTTCCCTGTTGCTGGGCAGTGTGCCTGGGTGTCTGAGACAGGTATCACGATGCTCTGTGGGAGCTATCACAGGTCCCAATTTACAATAGAGGCTCACTCGTCCTTGGGTGCTGCGAGATGTCATGAGATTTTGATCGCTGCTATCTCGGTGCAAGTTTTTCTTCATTAGAATTGGCAGCTCACCGGTTGAATTTCAATGAGAGTCAGACACAAAACCCCCCGGGGCTCCCACCCAGCTGATGGGAAATGTGCAGTCATAACTGCCGGCATCTATTTCAGCCTCTGCCCCATTGATTGCCAATGTGCCACATCCTGGAGAGTGACTGACATTAACATCGGACTGTTAGTGGTGGAAAAAAAAACACAGCAGCTACCCAAGACTCATCTGTACAGGATGTCCCGCCTTATTTGATGCTGAAAGACGTTTCACTTTGGCTGGCTACCCACTGCAGTTGTTGTTATGTTCAACAGAGAAAGTGACTGGAAGGGGTTTGGTCAGGAGGGTTAGAGTGGGAGAGAGAGAGAGAGCATTGCTGTGAAGAGTTTGTTGCTGTCGGTGTGTGCCTGGCCTCTGGGAGGATGATAGCCCTAGCTGTAGCAGCATTAGCAGGAATCCTGGCTGTAGGCTTTGTGCTGAGCTCCAACTTGCAGTGCCTGGCTGACGATGTGTGCTTTCTGTTCCGAACCAGCACATTCGGCCTGAAGTTGCTGAAGGTTTACCTGAGCAGGAGGGTACCCACTGTGCTGGAGCGCTTCAGCCAGCAGGTACAGGCTAAACCACACAAAACCTTCCTGTTGTACCAGGGTGTACCCTTCACCTACCGGCAGGTGGATAGCCGCAGTAACCGGGTGGCCCAGGTGTTCTTGGAGCAACAGCCGGCTTTGGCAGCGGGGGACACGGTGGCTTTGCTGATGAGTAACGAGCCTGACTTTGTGTGTGTTTGGTTCGGCTTGTCCAAGCTGGGCTGTGTCGTGGCTTTCCTGAACACCAACCTCCGCACCCGATCCCTCTTACACTGCCTGCACAGCTCCGGAGCTAACACCCTGGTTGTCGGGGAAGGTAAGGAAGAATTTGTCGCGACAATGTGCCAGATCTCTTGGTGCTCAGTCAAATAATTTTATCAAAGCGTAGTCACGGCATTCATGTAGAATAGTGCGTCAGGTACAATGCCTAGATAGTGCCTTGTATTGGATAAGGTGTGCATGTGAGCTGGGACCCTGGCAAATCTCCTCTGATCTGCTTTGTATTTTGCATGGGGGCTTGTTACATTTACTGGGAACTCTGAAAGAGTGAACAGAAGTTGCTGGAGAAACTCAGCAGCTCTGACAGCATCCATGGGCAGAGAGGAACAGAGTTAATGTTTCAGGTCCAGTGACCTTCCCAGTGCTGTACTGCCAGTGAACCTGCCTTAACTTGGTTGTACAACAACTTTAAGGATGATATGCAGAATAATTTGAATCACTTTGTAGCAGCTTGACTTCATCTGGCATGACTTTCAGGTTTAAAAAAGACAGTGCCACTCTTCCATCTCAGCCACTGGCAAGATTCATACAAGATTCACACTCATCATCACTATTCCATACTTCAGACTTGTTCCTGGGACATAGGAGCTGGGTCTCTGCCCCATCTAAAGACATAGCCTGTGGATACTGTAGTACAGCTGTCACTATGAAATATGAGGCTAGTTTCTGTGCACAAGTCCCTTGAGCATGGCATAAAGCCACAACCCATGCTACTCCTTCATTTACCCTTCAATCTTGAGAAATTCAGCCATAATATCACTACTCTCTTTCCTGCAGTCAGTTTCTTCACTGATGAGAGCATTTTTATCTTAACGTGCCAATCCAACAGAGGTTTGGCAATCTTGATTTTTTTTTTCAGACAAGACTTTATCAGCTGCATTTGGGCCTTAAAAGCAGGAGGTGGTTTTTTGGAAATTTCTCACCATGCTTGAGCAGGTTGGACTGGGATTGTTTCAGAGTAGCTTTTAAATAGTTTTTGTTATCGCTGGGACGTTGCTTCCCTGTAGTTAATGCTCCATCAAAGACTTTCCTCATGATTATTTCAAACACACCACATTTCTTGATGAGTGTTGCTGTTTGTTAATGCTTCTTTTAATCAAAACATCCATTCCTACATACCAACTTTTGACTTAAGAATTTTGGTGTAAGGGATCTTGTCTTAACATCTGATCTGCATTGGGTATGTCAGACAGCATTGGTGAAACTCGTTCTATTGCTCAATTTGATTTGGATATTTTCCGTGAAATTTACACTAGGGAAATGTCCAAGTTTCATAGAAAGTGCTATAAAGCAGGGTTATTACATCAGTTTGGTCTGCAGGCTTTTTTTTATTGTTCTTTAGTTCAGTGAAAGCTTATTGGGCTTAGGTATTTCTGTCAGATGCTGCTGGAACTGATATAATGTGGAGGTGCCTGTGTTGGACTGGGGTGGACAAGGTCAGAAATCACATGACACCAGGTTATAGTCCAACAGGTTTATTTGAAAACACAAACTTTCAGAGCCTCACACCTTCTTCCGGTGTTACTGATATAGATTGTTCCAGGCAGAGAGAATCTGTCCAAAGTTTGAAGTATGGAATAGTGATGGTAATTGCAGTATGAATCTTGTCAGTGGCCTAGATGGAAGAGTAACACTGCCTTTTTAAATCTGAAAGTCATGCCAGATGAAGACAACTTGCTGCAAAGTGATTCAAATTGTTTTGCATATCATCCTTATAGTCATCGTACGACTGACCTAAGGCAGGTCCACTGGCAGTGCAACACTGGGAAGGTCACTGGACCAGAAATGTTAACTCTGTTTCTCTGCCCACAGATGCTGCCAGACCTGCTGAGTTTCTCCAGCAATTTCCATTTTTGTTTCAGATTTCCATTATCCACACAGTTCTTGTTTTATTTTGAGTAGAGTGAAATTGTGCTCCTTTAAACATTGAAGATAAAAAGGGCAAAACAACTGAGTTGTATAGCATGATAAAAGGAGTTGATAAGCTCAATAGGAAAAGGTGCTCTTTGTTTCAGAAGGGAAGTCCAGGTCAAGGGCATATCATTTTACAATTAATCAGTGTTGAAGAATAGTGGAATCTGAAATTCTCTTCTCCAAAAAGCTGTTGAGATATATTCAATTCAAAATTGCAAAACAAGATTGATAGAATTCTTTTGGCCTGGTATATTAAGATTGCAGAACATTCTCAAGGGCAGTTGGAGACACGAATAAATACTGACCTACCAATGACACCCACATCATATGAATCAATATGCTCAGTGGAGTTAGGATTCAGATCTATCTTGATCTAATTAAAATGGAGAGCAGGTTTGAAGGGCAGAATGGCTTACTCTAATTTCTATGATTACTGGGGAGTAATTTTTTATCCTGTCTTTGCAAGTTTATAGAGATTATGTTTGCCCTTTTCTTTTGACAGAAGGTATATATGGGATGTTTCAATACAGCACATTGACTATGTTTTAATTTTTTTTCCTTTATTCATTCACGGGATGAGGGCATCACTGGCTAGGCAGCATTTATTGCCCAGAGGGCAGCTAAGAGTCAACCACATTGCTGTGGGTCTGGAGTCACATGTAGGCCAGACTAGGTAAGGATGGCAGTTTCCTTCCCTAAAGGACATTAGTGAACCAGATGGGTTTTTCCCAACAATTGACAATGGTCATCATTAGATTCTTAATTCCAGATTTTTATTGAATTGAATTCCACCATCTGCTGCAGTGGGATTCAAACGTGGGTCCTCGGATCGTTATCTGGGTCTTTGGATTAATAGTCCAGGGATAATACCACTAGGCCATTGCCTCTGCTTAATATTAGATGTTGTTTGAAGCAAATACTAAATGATCAATTTGTTCAAACCTATAATCAGAACTTCATAGCTAAAGATGGGATCAACAACCTAAATTTTGTTTCTTGAAACAAAATTACTTGTAAGTTCTTTTTTGACTTGTAATGATGTTTCAGCTAAAAGAAAACAAAACTCTATACCAAGCCCATTGAGCAAATTCTTATGTATTAATTTAAAGCAAGTGAACAAAATTGAATTTTCAACAGAAATTAAATGCAATACAAGGGCTAAGAGGCAAAGGTTTTGGATTGGCATTTTATTTAAATTTTCCAATTATTCACAAAAAGTCTTTCTTGCTTCTCCATTTCCTTTCACCATCCTCCCGGTCCCCTGAGAGTGATAATTCCACTAATACATATTCAAATCATCCATTTGTAGGCTGTATTGTGTTTGGTAAATAACGCTGACTTGTTTTCTTTCAATATGTTAGCATGCTAAGCTGTTTTTAGTGTTTTTGTACCAAGGTATTAATTGAATTGAATTGAACTGAATTATCTTTATCGTGACGTGTACACACGAGTACAGTGAAAAGTTTACAGTCGCTGCATAACAGCGCCATCTAAGACACAAAGGTACCTAGGTGTAGATATTAAAGATCAAATTACTAGGAAACAAAAAAAAATTAGAAAAAAAAGGAAATAAATAGTCCAGCATTATAGGTCATAGGAATAAGTTTGAAAAATGAAGAAGTAAAAAGTTCAGAATATTGGTCTTTCTGATCCAGTCCATGCCAGTAAGACCTCCACTACCTCACCACCACCTGCACCAGACCCACCGATGTAGGAGTTGCCTCACATTAGGTGCCATCTGATTGCTGCTGGGCCCACTTCGCTGATGCCACTGATCCCCCACTTGCCCCGCGACCAGGAGTCCCTGGCTCCGACATCAGGCCACGAGTCACGCTCTGGCTGTAGATCTCACCTTGCTGGCACTACCATCTTGAAGAGTCTGCTGCCGCTGGCGCCGCCATCCCTGATTGGTGGAGGAGCTTTGCTGCCGCTGCCACTGGCCCTGAAAGGTGAGAGAACGCACTGCCTCGCCAGGAGAAGCCACGCCCACCACCCCACTCTCGCTCCAGCACCTGTGCTGCTAACCAACCAACCGCAGAAAAGAAGACAAAAAAAGACCAAAAGAAAATAAAGCAAAAGAAAAGACCAGAAGCAAAAGTAAAACAAGGAAAGGAAGTAGATGGGAGCGGATGGGTCCCAGGCAGGAGCCTGCTCACAGCTCTACTACTCTGCTGCCATCTTGCATCAGGCAAATTATCAGAACAATCAAACTTGTGGATAGTGGGAGTCTTTTTCCCAGGTGGAAATGTCAAGTACTAAGGGACGTAGGTTTAAGGTGCGGGGGTTGGGGGGGTGGGTGGGAATTTAAAGGAAACTTGTGAGGCAATTGTTTTAGACATAAGGTGGTAAGTGTCTGGAACACGCTGTCAGGGGAGGTGGTAGAAGTAGCTGTATTTATGAGGCATTTAGGCAGAGACATGAACAGGCAGGGAATACAGCCATATGGACCATGTCACTCAGATGGGATTGGTTTAGAACAGCATCATGGGGGCCTGTTCCTGTGCCGTACCGGTCTATGTTCTATGCTGTGTCAGTTTGTCCTAATTTACTAAAACCTTAACTGCCTAATCTTTCCATTTTCAGTTAATGTTTTGTCAGATTTGTGGCAATCTGTTTGCCAAAGCTCAGAGAGACTTTTCCCAAACAACCTTCTGCTCTTCGCCTTAATGTTTGTGCAACCGGGCATTTGGGCAACTTTCTGAGGAAATCTTGCAGTGCTGGAGGTGGAAGTGCTTGCTGCTGCTAAAGCCTTCTGATATGCAAGCCACTAGGCCTTACTTAAAGCCCAGTTATGCATACACGTACTTCAGATGCTGCAAGCCAGAAAGTGTCCCTTGGACTGTGGTACTCCACCAATTTTACCCAGACTAGCGGCTGGGGGGGTGGTGACAGACATCAGATTCCTCACTCTGTATAGGGAGAACATTCTTGAATG